CAAAGTCGAGACAACTGGCCACAACCTGCAACCCAAGGCAACACATGCCAGAGAAGGGCCAGGAAAATGAATGAGGTACTGTGCAGTCAGGACCCTGTTCAATCTTCAAAAGCCCTGTGCCCGAATGTCAGCCCAGAACATATTACCAAAAACAGCAGCCAAAGCAGCGAACTTACAAACATCGTGGGCACAGGGAGAGACCGCAGGCTGGCTGGACCGAATAATCCTGTGGACGACCTGGAAGACCCACACCCTAGAACAGGGAAGATGGGAAACCGGGTTAACCCAAAGTGCGTCCCCTGCCACAGAGGCCGTGGCGTGCAAGTAACTGCGAAGGACAAAACCAAACTCAAGGCGACTAACACCCCCAAATCTGGTTCTCTACATTATAACCAAAGCAGGGCAGCTGCGGGGCATCTGGAAAGGCAACCAACCTAGCTAGTTGCAGCAACCTAAACCGTGCCTGCAACACTGAAGCTGCATGCACCTGAATATTAACATCAGTGGACTGGATGAATTGGAGTACAAGCAAGGAACACCACTCGCAGGACTCCAGATCAAAGGTGTCACTGACCCAACAGGCAGCATGGCAAAGGCATAGATGGTGAGTATCACCCTGAGACCAGGGGACAGAGTAACCTTCAAACTCATACGCAGCGAGAAGGGACTCGGAGGTCTCCTCCATTGGACCAAGGAGCCCCAATAGGGGTTCCCAGGGCCCTTAAGCTGACTGCTAATGGAAGCCCAGGCAAGTTACTGCTAACTGGTTATCCTAGAGCTACCAAGCAAACAAACTAAAAGCTGAACCCCTGCAACGTGTGCAAGCACAGAGACCTAGCGGAGGGCCACCAAAATCACACAAAGAAAACCCCCGCAAAAGCACGTCTCCAGGGAAACAGGACCAGTTGCTATGCATATATCAGACAGATGCACAGTACCTTGCACCCCAGCCAGTGACGATACCACCTCCTACCCAAGGCCAAACAGGAGTAAGAACCACCCCAGCTGAACCCCAAGGGCGGGCAATCACCGAGCAGCAACAGAACCACGCAGAGGAAGTCTCAGAAACGGCTCATGGTAGGGAACCCTAAGCCACAAGGGCAGTACTTACTGGGCACCTAGGAAAGGTGGCCCTAGGTGCATGCAGCCTCAGTACTCGTGTTACTTCTGGCTCACACACCACCAACAGAGAAGAACATCACCACCATGCAGCACTGCTCAAAGGATGGAGCCAGAGTCGATCAACTGCCACCAATCAGTCACAGTGCGAGGGAGTGTTACCTGGAATTCCAATTGCCTTGATACCAAAAATGGAAGGTGTAGTGAGTGATCTGGTACTAGTGAAGGAGCTATGTGGAGCTCTGAGGGCAGAGTTGGATTCCTTATGGGAGGAGCTACGACAGATGCAGGAGTTAAAACAGACGAAAGACAATAGGAAGCAAATGAGGAGAGCAACAGTAGAAAGTCGTCATCTTGGAATGTCGTAAAAAACAGGGATCTTAAGAAGACGCTTGCAAAGCCGCCTACAGATGTCATAAAGACTTCCAATCGATTTGCTGTGCTGGAAAATGAATGCTGTAGGGACACTACAGTTCACTCGAAAGGCAAGACAACATAGGAAGCGCAGGTCCCTCAAGGTGATCACAAAGTAAAGGAAGTACCTAGGCAAATTTTGGTTGTTGGAGATTCTCAGGTGAGGTATTTGGATAGAGCTTTTTGTGCTCTATCCAATTGGGGGGAACAGGTTAAGGGTTTGCTATCTGGGAATTGGTGATATAATGGGTAACATGAATGATATTATGGCTGGAAAAAAGGAATAAACCCATCATTTGTATCAGTGCCAGTGGAAATGATGTAGGACGAGTTAAGAGTGAGGCACTGATACAGAGGTTTAAGACAGCCATAAAATTAGTTAGGAGCAAGGGTGGAATCCCAATCATATGTGGCATTCTTCCGAAAAAGTGAGTTAGAAATGAATGGTTGTCGAGGGTACTTGGTGTCAATTGCCGACTGGACAAATATTGTAAATCAAATGCAATGTCATTCACTGATAACACTTCAGTGGGAACACTTCTATGGAAGGACTGATATGTATTCTCGGGATGGGGTGCATTTACCTAGGGCTGGGGTTGTTACTTTTTTTTTTTTTTTTTTTTTTTTTTTGCAGGGATATTCCTGCGCAGGCCCTAAGCTTCTGGCTGGCCCACTAATGGGTTGTTGCTGTTGCCAACTCTTTGGAACCTGTGGTTGGAGAGGGGGTTTGTTTGGGTTTAAACTGTTAATAGATAGTGGTATTGGGAATTGATATGGAGGAAGGAGGCAATAGAAGTGTGTTGGCGGGGGAAAAAATGGCAAAATAAACAGGGAAGGAGAAGGGCCTCAAAATAACAATACATGTACATTTAAGGTATAATACACGAACAGTAAGAGTCTAAGAAACAAAATAAATGATTTAAATGCTCTTGTTTGCACAGAAACAATAGATATTATTGCACTGGATGAATGTAACAAACATGGATGAATGTAGAAAACAGAGAACTATTAGCTGTATATCAAATAAACGAATTTAAACTATTTCACACACAGATATATTAGACAAGGAGCAAAGTATCTATGGGATGAAATATCTAGAGCATCTAGGTCAAACAGTACTTGTAATTGGGTGACTTTAATTTTAGTGGAATAAACTGGATTAACAGAACAGGGAATAATGAAGCAGAAGATTTTCTAGAATTAACTGATGATAGCTTTCTTAAGCAGCACATTAAGGAACCAATGCGGAAAAATATTTTAGACACAGTGTTAACTAACAAGGAAACAAATTAATGACATCTTAATAGGGAGTGATCTAGAGAAGTGATCACAAAGAAATCAGATTTAGCATAGAATGGAATAGATTTGTCCAAGAAAATTCTGTTAAAGTGCTAGATTTTTGAAAAGCTGATTTTAATGGCCTAAGAAATTTTTTGGGGTGAAATAGATTGGAAAGTCCTGGGCATAAAGGGTGGGCCAGTCTTGGAGTGAGACGTGAACCCAGAGATGGGTGATGTAAAAACGGATTTTGATGTGGATTCAAAATATAACTTATTTAAAAATATTGTAAGCAAAGCACAGGAACGCAGACTACCATATAAATTGAATAAATCGAATAATAATGACTTAAAATGGATAGCAAAGGATCTGATAAACCTTATAGGTAGAAAAAATAGAAAGAGCTTGGTACAAAAAGATTAAGAATGGGGAAGTCAGCTTAGAACAAGAATTCATCCAGCTGGTTAGAAATGTTAAAAAAAAAAAAGATAAGGAAATAAACTTGAAGACTCACTATCACTTCAAGACGATCTAAATAGGGTTTTGAAATGGTCAAAATATTGGCAAATACAGTTTAATGCTGACAAATGTAAGGATTTGAGGCTAGGTAATGATGCTTGAGTTACAAGATACGAGCTAGATGGTGTTGAGATTGCAAAGTCAGATTGTGAAAGGGATTTGGGGGTTATGATTAGTAAGAATTTAAAACCAAAAAATCAATACATAAATGTTCATAACAAGGCAAATAGGACAATGGGATTTTTTTTATCGAGGCGTTAGTAATAAGACACCTGGTGTTGTTCTTCAGCTATATCTTGCTCTGGTTAGGCTCCATTTAGATTATGTAAAGAATTAGGGGTGACATGATAGAGGTGTACAAGTGGATGAATGGACATAACAAAGGGGATATTAATAGAGTATTAAAAGTATCAACACAAGATAGAACACAAAACAATGGGTATAAATTGGATAAGTTTAGATTTAGGAAAGACCTGGGTAAATACTGGTTCGGTAACAGGGTTGTTGATTTGTGGAACCAATTACCACGTAACATAATAGAAGTAGGATCCCTTGATTGTTTCAAGCGTAGGTTAGACATATATATGAATGAGATTGGGTGGATATAAATAGGAGCTGCCTCATATGGGCCAATAGGCCTTCTGCAGTTACAATACCTTTGTTCTTATGTACTAATCACAACAGCCTATGAACTGGGATTGACTAGCTGGCACGGGAGGTCTGGGGACCCCAGGGGGGGGGGTAGTTGCGTAGACAGCAGTGCGGCGGCTGTGTGACATCATGCTTGTTTACTTTTTTGATTGGGAGTTCTGCTTGCTAATTCGACTTTCAGTTTGCAATTTTTAACCAGCTGAAGTTTTGGAATTCCTACCTTTCTGGGTGCCTAATCTGGTAGATGGCATAGACTGCTTCCAATTACATGGGGTAGTCTATAGGCCGTTGCTTTTCATGCCTCATCTGAGGGGGCCAGGTTCTGGCGCTAGTCCCTGGTAGGCCTAGAACTCCATCGATTGACTGTTGCCACAGTCTAATATATGCACATCAGCAAATACACAAGCAAATGGTCCCCGCAGGACACAGTCCGAAGGATGTCACCACTTAACTGAGAAGTGAGACCCACTGTGACGTGGTGACCTGACAAGCACTTCTATGCTAGTCAACATCTGCAACAGGACTGACCGATAGCCAGATGTTAGCCGTGAGGTCCAGACCGCCTGGTGACACCCATCAGTACTAATGGGTTTGACCTCCTTTAAAAGTGAACCAATTGTTTTGACGGAATCATTTGGAGAGTTGTATGCCGTTTTATTTACTATGAACCTTGCAGTTGTCTGTATTCTTTTGCCGAGTTTTTGGATGATTTTCCAGTGAAGATGATATAATAATCCCCTGCTCCTTGTACCTCTGTGATGGGGGCCAGGGTACAAAGAACCAGCTCTGGTTCTTTGTACATCAGAACAGACTCCTGAACCTGATGCAGCCCAGTAGTGGAAAGCCATCTCAGCAAGAGAGCTTCAGGAAGTCTCCAAAAGTAAAGGGCTCCTACAGCAAAGTACATTAAACACGTACAGTACACTAATTATAAATTAAATTTGTATAATCTATGAGATAATGGTACTTACAAAGTAATTTTTTCAGGGCAAAGCATGATACATAACAGGGAGACCAACCTAATGGACGAGGGAGTGAACCGGAAGAGGAATTAACAGAGGAGCGATTCCGGAAGCTGTTTAATGCTCTTCCAGCTAACTGTTTGGCTTTGGTGAGACCCTCCACTACCATAAGCACATTTTCCATGGTAGTGCTGATTGCTGCATTAATTGGCTCACAATGCTCCTGAAATTGACATGACAAAAGCAAGTTATCAAAACAAGTTACTACCAACTTACTGGTTTTGTCTTATGAAGTAGTGTACTGAGCTCAAGATACCATAACTATTTGTAATCATAGGGGGCACTGCACCTATATGAATAAATTTTCAAATTTGTCAGGACAAATTCATCACAATAGCCTCGACATTTAAAAATTCGGTAACTAGAAGGATACCAAAGGGTTACCAAAGGTTACCCTTTGAGTGCTGAATTAAAAACCTCATTCATGAACAAAATACAGTGGGCACCTTGGTTTATGAATATAATCCGTTCTAAGAGATGGTTCAGCACCGAAAATTTGTAAACTAAAATGAATTTTCCCATAAGAAATAATTTAAATTTAATTAATCCGTTCCACACACGCAAAAAAAGAGCATTGAATGTAATGAAACGCCATTTTCTGGTTGAGACCTGGAGGCTTCCCGGAGCTATCCAGGCTGATATGGATATATTAGACTTTGGCATCAGTCAATGTGCATGGAGTTCTAGGCCTACCAGGGACTATGAGCCTGAGCCTGGCCCCCTCAGAGAGGCACGAGGAGCAATGATCCATAGAAACTCCCCTGTGATTGGAAGCATTCTATATCTGCCATCAACCAGGTCAGCCACCCAGAAAGGAAAATACCCCAAAACAAACCCTATTCTGGTTAACATTGCTACTGAAAGCCAAATGAGTGGACAGAACTCCCCAAATGAAAACAACCAAATAAGCGTGATGTCACCATGTCGCCGCGCCACTTGTCTGTGCAACCACGCCCCCTCGGGGAAGCCCAGACCTTCAAGCCAGCTACCCACACCCCAGTTCTGAAGCTGGATGTCAAAACACACGAAAAAATGCCAACCGGAGGGAGGGAGGGTTGCTGGGGAGACTCCGGGTCTCACCCAGAAAATGGCGTTTCATTACATTCAACATTGGTTTTCTAGGGGGAAACCCCCCCCCCTGCGGCTCCCCGGAGCTACCTATCCAAAGAGAAACCAAACAAGAATGACTTACCCGGGAGGCAGGCGTCTCTCGCTCCTCAACTAGAAGTCAAGACAACTGGCTACAACTGCCGACCCAATGCGACGCAAGCCCAAATGGGCCCAAGAACATTAACAAGGTAGCGAGCAGCCAGGACCCTGTTCAACCTCCAAAAAACCCCATGCCCGAATGTCAGCTGAAGATATGTTACCAAAGACAGCAGCCAAAGTAGCAAACTTACTTACGTCGTGGGCACGAGGTTAGACCGCAGGCTGGCTAGACCGAATAATCCTGCAGACGACCTGAGAGACCCGCACCCGAGGACAGGGAAGAAGGTAAACTAGGTCAACCCAAACTGCGTCCCCGGCCATCGAAGCCTTGGCGCACATAACGGCAGAAAGCCGCAACCGTACACAACATACGAAGCACCCCGACCTAACCAATCAAGCATCAACAACCCAAGCACCCCTCCGAAGAGCAGCAGTCTAATTCTTCACAAGAAAAGAAGGAGACAGCTGTAAATGAACAAACCTACCACCAGGACCAAAAGAGCAGAAACCCCTGTGCTGGAGAAGAGCATAAAGCTCCCCGATCTGACCCCCAGAGGCCAATGCCAACAAGAAAAAAGAGCCTTAGAAAAACAATTCTGAACCAAAGGGGCCACTACAAACCGAGCAGAAGAGAGAAAAACAAGAGAGCACCCAGTCCAACGACCAGGATGGCACAAGTGGCGCACGAGCAGGCCGGAGGTGAAACAACGCACGAGACAACTTGTGGAATGGGAGCTGAAGTAACATCAACACTGAATCATGCAGTAGCGGCTCCGCCAGCGCCACACAATACGAGGCGACAGTATTCGGTATAAGATGACGGTCCTAGAACAACCAAGAAAGGAACGACAAGACAACCCAATCAGAGACCAAAGTACACCTACGCAAGGACAAGAAATAACGGAAGGACTACCAGGAAACTTCATACTGCCGCCGAGACAAAGCACAAAGGTGGACCCCTTCAGAAAGAGCCGACGGCAGGATTGCAGCAGGAGCAATGCTGCCTGAGGGAGAGAAAGGGACGCTATTCGGAAAATCCAGACAAGACCTTGTCAAGTCCAAACCCAAGACAGAACCAGATGCGACTTCCTCTACTTCACCAGGAACCCAAACCCCAACGCCACCGCAGGCAGCACAAAGCATGTGACCAGGCGCGAGCAAACAGAGATAGTCTCCCTCCCATCGCCCCGTCAATGGGACGAACCGGGAAAGGGCCAACACACCTTACGAGCACAAGTGGTGCATAGGGTGATCCCTGCGCCCAACAGATGGTACCGAAAACTGCGCCTGCGGCAAATCTGGCACCAATGGCTTACCACGATGGAAAGAACCCTGAGGCTTGGCACGACCCTTATGGGAAGGGCCCCACGAACCCCCGCAGAGGACTAACAAGTCTGACATAGGATGGCAACTAGATGAAGTCACCTGCAGATACTGCACAACCGCAGACTCTGCAAACAGCAACAGGCAAAAAGGCAAAGACAGCCTAAGAGCCAGGCCCAAGTAGATTCCAGAGAAGAAGCAAGCACCGCCTGCCGACATGTGAGGCATGAAGCAAAAAAACAAGAAACCGCATCCAGCAGGATCGGCGCGAACAGCTTCAACAAGTCAAGCGACGCACTCACTCAGCATTCCACTTCACCTGATCTTTCAGGCATCCCTGTGTACAGGAATCGTAGCAGACGGGTGGAAACAGGCTAACATAGTTCCAATCTACAAAAGTGGCAGCAGGGAAGACCCCCTCAATTATAGACCTGTATCATTGACAAGTGTAATAGTGAAAGTATTGGAAAAACTAATCAAAACTAAATGGGTAGAACACCTAGAGAGAAATGATATAATATCAGACAGACAGTATGGTTTTCGATCTGGAAGATCCTGTGTATCGAATTTACTCAGTTTCTATGATCGAGCCACAGAGATATTACAGGAAAGAGATGGTTGGGTTGACTGCATCTATCTGGACCTAAAAAAGGCTTTCGACAGAGTTCCACATAAGAGGTTGTTCTGGAAACTGGAAAATATTGGAGGGGTGACAGGTAAGCTTCTATCATGGATGAAAAATTTTCTGACTGATAGAAAAATGAGGGCAGTAATCAGAGGCAATGTATCAGAATGGAGAAATGTCACAAGTGGAGTACCACAGGGTTCAGTTCTTGCACCAGTGATGTTTATTGTGTACATAAATGATCTACCAGTTGGTATACAGAATTATATGAACATGTTTGCTGATGATGCTAAGATAATAGGAAGGATAAGAAATTAGATGACTGTCATGCCCTTCAAAAAGACCTGGACAAAATAAGTATATGGAGCACCACTTGGCAAATGGAATTTAATGTTAATAAATGTCATGTTATGGAATGTGGAATAGGAGAACATAGACCCCACACAACCTATATATTATGTGAGAAATCTTTAAAGAATTCTGATAAAGAAAGAGATCTAGGAGTGGTTCTAGATAGAAAACTATCACCTGAGGACCACATAAAGAATATTGTGCAAGGAGCCTATGCTATGCTTTCTAACTTCAGAATTGCATTTAAATACATGGATGGCGATATACTAAAGAAATTGTTCATGACTTTTGTTAGGCCAAAGCTAGAATATGCAGCTGTTGTGTGGTGCCCATATCTTAAGAAGCACATCAACAAACTGGAAAAGGTGCAAAGACATGCTACTAAGTGGCTCCCAGAACTGAAGGGCAAGAGCTACGAGGAGAGGTTAGAAGCATTAAATATGCCAAAACTAGAAGACAGAAGAAAAAGAGGTGATATGATCACTACATACAAAATAGTAACAGGAATTGACAAAATCGACAGGGAAGACTTCCTGAGACCTGGAACTTCAAGAACAAGAGGTCATAGATTTAAACTAGCTAAACACAGATGCCGAAGAAATATAAGAAAATTCACCTTCGCAAATAGAGTGGTAGACGGTTGGAACAAGTTAAGTGAGAAGGTGGTGGAGGCCAAGACCGTCAGTAGTTTCAAAGCGTTATATGACAAAGAGTGCTGGGAAGACGGGACACCACGAGCGTAGCTCTCATCCTGTAACTACACTTAGGTAATTACTCACCGATCGAACCCCAGGACCACAGGATCACAAGTCCCGCGTGCTGTCCGCTCGGCCGACCAGCTCCGGTTGCTGGAACATGAAGCTGCAACACACCAACATCCCGCAAAAGGGCAGGGGTGAACAAGTATGCACTGAGATACTCAAAGTTACCCCACCCCCCCACTCGGGAAAACCTACAACGCCGTTTGAGCATCCCGCCACTCAAGCGTGAGGGACCGACAGAACATATGCCAAGCTTCCAACAAGAATAGAGGGCAGTCTGCTAACCAGAATGACTCAAACTTCATAACAAACCCAGCAAGGACAAGAAGATCCATACACAAAGGAACGCAGATCCATTACGAAGGCATAATCCTGGTCGCGCAGGAGGTAAGCCGCAAGGGCTACTCGCAACACATGAGACAGGATGTGGAAAGCTGAAAACCTCTAGGACAGAACCGAAGAACTGACGGGATCACGAAACCGAACGTGGGGAGGGGTAGACACTAAATCCAATTCAATTCAATTCATACGAGGAGGGGAAAGAGAACCCCACTCCTTGCAACACCATGCCCCTCTCCGAGGGTACAAAAACCCATGCTGGGTTCAATGGGGCACAAAGCCCCCAAGTCAACTCCCTCCCCTGCCCCCTGGAAACCTCACCCCAAGGACTTAGGACTTAGGCACAACCGGTAACTGTTACCCCGAGACAAGAGCACAGAACAATAATCCGACTTGTACAAGCGAGAGGGGGGACTCGGGGGTCGCATCCATCGGACCACAGAGCCTCCGCGGGGTTTCCCAGGGCTCTTAGTCGTGGCAGTCTGCTAAGGGAAGCCCAGGCAGGGTACAGCTAACCGTCACCCAAAACTACCAAGCAAACTGCTAAAAGATGCACCCCTGGGACATGTCCACTCATGGGGACCTAGTAGAGATACCACCAAAGACAATGGTAACAACCTAACACAAGGGGCAGACCCACCACCAGGCAGAAAAAAAAAAAAGCACAAGAGGACAATATGCCCTGCCGGAGCACAGCCAGCTGCTATGAGAGGTTACAAGTAGCTGCCCTGTACCCTGCGCCCCATCCAGTGACGAAAACTACCCCCCTACCCAATGGCAAACAGGAAACAAAACCCCAGCTGACTCCAAGGGCCGTCAATCATCAAGTAGTAAGAGACTCCGCAGAGGTAGACCCCAAGGAGACTTGTGAAAGGTGGTCCCAAGCCCCAAGGGCAGTACTTACAGGGCACCTAGGGAAGGAAACCCTAAGTACATGCAGCCCGAATACTGAAGAATATTACTCCTGGCTCGCTCACTGACCGTAGAGATAGGACCACGACACAAGGCACAGGAACCGAGACAAAATCTGGAGCCAGACACTCGACCTTGCCAGTAACTCATCAGCCAAGAACTGAAGGGTAGATCGCTGGCGCGAGGGTCTAAGGCTCCCCCTTCCCCTTCCCGGGGGGGTTGTGCAGACTATGTGATCAACGATGTGATGATGTCATGCCAGTTTGCTAATTTTCATTTGAGGAGTTCTGTCCAATATTTTCACCAGAATAGGGGTTTGTTTTTGGGGTGCCTTCCTTTCTGGGTGCCTGACCCAGTCGATGCAGACATAGAATGCTCCAAACCACACGGGGATTTCTATAGGCCACTGCTCCTTGTGCCTCATCAGAGGGGGCCAGGTTCTGACCATGGTCCCCGTTAGGCCTTCCATGCACTTTGACTGATGTCTGAAAGCTAATATATCCATATCAGCCTGGATAGCTCCAAGTAGCAGACGGGGCTCTCACCAGACAAGCTTCGTAACTCACCCTAAGTCTTTTTTCCACCTTCAGCTCGACTGTTTTTTGAAAGTCATTATCCGTTGCTCTGAGCAGCTGCTCCTGAGCTTCTTGTAACTCTCCTTTTAGAGAAATTACTTCTCTGTACCTGGAAAGATAAGTCTAAATGAAGTACAGAAACTCCTTTCTGACCAAGATGCTTAGTTGCAACCTTAGGCATGTTCCTAATAATTTTACAGTGAAGACGTGTCAACATTCTGTGCTGACAACATGGATTTTATTCAAATGTCTGCATAAAGTCATACTGGGGCAAGGAAGAGACTGAGAATACTCTGTGCACCACGAAATGATCTTGAGATGGTTCATTCAACTACACTGTGATGGAGAGCTCTCAACAATCACTATTTGGTTGCCACTACAACACAACTATCACCTTGTGGCCAGTGCCTACATGTCAACAGGGGGAACTCTGTCTACCTCACATTTTGTCTGAATGTGTGCCATGTGCAAATCACAGACAAAACACACAATTTAAATTCATATTGTATGGGGAAAATGGATGTTGGGGGCAGCTGAGGGCAGGAGGGATGTCTGTGGGGTGCTGGGAATGGCTGAACTCACCTAGTTGTATTCACCACAGTGTGCTTGCGGGGCGCTAAGCTTCAGCTCTTTGGTCCTGGCTCTCAACTGTCAATCAACTGGTGTCCTGAGCCTATTGGGCTCTATCATATGTATATTTGAAACTGTGTATAGAGTCTGCCTCCACCACATCTCTGCCTAGTGCATTCCATTTATTAACTACCCAGACACTGAAAACAAATTCTTTCTAATGTCTCTGTGGTTCAAATGAGAACTAAGTTTCCACCTGTGTTCCCTTGTTCATGTTCCACCCATGCTAAATAGTTTGACTTTGTCCACCCTGTCAATTCCTCTGAGAATTATGTAGGTGGTGATCGTGTTTCCCTTAACTCTTCTGTCTTCTAGGGAGAGTGAGGTTTATTCCTCATGTCCAAGGAGGAATTAACTTCCAGCCTCACTTCCAGGGAGGTGAGGCTGTGAGGTGCTACAGGCAGCTGCATGGAACTGGGGCAGCTGAAGGAGAGTGGAGGGTGGTTATTGGGTGCTGGAGGTGGTTGTGGGGTGCTGGAGGTGATTGTGGGGTGCTGGAGGTGATTGTGGGGTGCTGAAAGTGGTTGTGGGTTGCTGAGGGTGGCTGTTGGGGTGCTGG